CCGCCTATATAATTCACGATCTTGTGGCTGGCATTTGTTGGGAGCCGGGGTTTTAGGATAGGGAAGATTCTTGCTAGAGATTGTAGCTAATAAACATTGCTGGACTGAATTTACATGGTCTCTTGGAGTTCCTTGGGCTAGGCCTGACAGCAGGTGGGACTGCTGTGGGGATCCTAGCCATGCCCTGCATGGACACAACTGCTCTGGATGTGAATTGTAGGTTTACCATGGCCCTATAACTGAACTTACTGCCTTTTCCTGGTGGATATGTGCACAAACCTCTAAAGAATTTTGCTAGACCACCTTTGTTTTCTCCTCAGGCCCCAATTTGCTTTTTTCTTTATTGCTAAACCAACAAATTGGTATAAGGTCTTCACTGTCTGAATCTCCTTCCACTGAAGTAGGTCGGAGAGGGGAGCATCTATGCCAGCCAGCCATGGAATTCTTCAGTGTGGCAATGCAATCAGACCAGGACCTTGCCACTGAGAAACTGACAAGGCTGAGGATCCTCGCTGCTCTTACAATCTGTCCACTGAGCATCGCTGATCCTGTTTTCGGAAGGTAGTCCTGACTTGTCTTGTTCTTGTGTAAGAAAATCCAGATCCAGCAGGTATTCTGTTCATTTGTTTGATTTAAATGTTTAAATCAAAGTATTATGACCCTAAGGTTTTCATCCTGTCTGACCGTGGGAACTGCCAACTGTGTACCCAGCTAAATTTGTGCTGATTGGGTTAGAGCCAATTTAAATTCTTGAGTTGTTTTGTACTGTCAAATTTATTTAAATTGTCCTAAAATCAGAAAGCGCACTGCAGGTGTAGCTAGAAAGAGATTACTGAAAGTGCTTTAAATAGTTTTAAATCACTAATCACTATGATTTCATGTAATTTTAAAAAAGAACATGCATGAACAAAGCTTTTTGATGTTAAATTCTCTCAGAGCACTTTATGGGAAGAGATGCACCACAATAAAATGTCCATTAGGAGAATCAAACATGATGCTATTATGAGTAATTTAGGGTATTGGTAAATATTAAAAGATCTCAGTATGATGGCTCCCTTGATATTTAGAAATTAAAGCTTGGTGTAAATGGTTTGGATCTATAATCTAGCCCAGTATCCTCAACCGCATCAACGTTAAGATCTGTGGACTTACCTCCAAGAATTACCTGGCCAGCAGGCCCTCTGCTCCTTGGAGAAATGGCTGGGCATTGTTACATAACAGTTACTAGAAGCCCACTGATATTGCATTATTTGTCTCATTGTTATAAACAGTGTTTTTGGTTACTACCAAGCTTCACTGTGTTAACTCTGATTAGTTATTTTATGATTTAGGGTGTTAAACGATGAGTTAAATAAGAATCTCACATCAAAAATTAGAAGTTGATCAAATACCACCACTGAGTTCAGCAGCTGACTGGCATAATGCACTCGTGGGGACTAAATGCATATTGTTTACGTACTTAGCAAAACTGTTATTATAAGGTGTGTGGATACCTTCCTACTTCCTTATGCTTAACTGTTATACTTTTTAACAACGATATTAAAAAAAATCCCAATGTTATACTCCTTACAAACTGTTTGAGTAACAGTTACTGATGAAGTTTCTTGCTGCTGAA